CTCCTCCTCCTCCTCCTCCTCCTCCTCCTCCTCCTTCTCCTTTTTTGCCTTGTTTGAGACAGGGTTTCTCTGTGTAGCCCTGGCTATTCTGGACCCATTCTTTAGACCAGGCTGGCTTTGAGTTCACAGAGATCCACCTGCCTCTGCCTTCCAAGTGCTGAGATTAAAGGTGAGCATCCCAACACATCTGGCTCTTCTTGAGTTTTTTTTTGTTTCATTTGTTTGTTTTTAAAAGAGTTATTTATTTCATGGATGTGAGTACACTATAGCTGTCTTCAGACACATCAGAAGAAAGCATTGGATTCCATTAAAAATGGTTGTGGGCCACCATGTGGTTGCTGGGAATTGAACTCAGAACCTCTGGAAGAGCAGTCAGTGCTTTTAACCGTTGAGCCATCCCTCCAGTCCCTCTTCTTGAGTTCTTAATGATTTTCCTGCCTTAGCCTCTAGGGTGGTGAGATTACAGGTACAAGTGACCATCGAGAGACACTACCTAATTTCTGAAGGCAGGCCGTGGCAGGTAAGCTGGCTCCTCCTGGCTCTACATGTTGGGTGCTTGCAGAAGCTTTTCCTAGATCTATGCTTCCTGATCCTTGATGCTGCCAGCTCCAGTGTGTGTCCAAGCCTGGATCTCCAGCTGCCTAATGATGAGTCCGGTCACCGACTGTCCTTCATGACTGGTTCATGCACACTTTACTCATGGTAGCTGTTCTGTGGCTTCCTGCAGTGATGTAACCCTGCGGTGCTGTGGCAGTAAAGCTCCATATACATCTGAACTGATGGAACTCTATTCCTTTTCAGTTCTGGAAGTGAGCTGTTTGAACTTCTGTTGTGGTTGGTGGCTGGGGATGTAGCTCAGTCGATAGGGTGTCTGTCTGCATGCACACAGCCCAGGTTAAATCCCTAGCACTTCATAAAATAAAACTGTGTGTAGTGGTGCAGCGTGTATCCCCTACACTCTGAAGGAAGGAACAGAAAAGTCAGAAGATGTTCAAGCTCATAGTGAGTTTGAGGCCAGCCTGCAATACATGAGACTCTGTCTTTAAAAAAAATATATAGTGGACAAGGTCACTCTTGCTGCCAGAGTTCTGGGAGTAGACTGTCTGCAGTGTTTCCTAGCTACTAGTGACTGCCCTCTGTTTGTCCATCCTTAGCTTGTGGATGAGTCACCCCATCACTGTTTCTGCC